TTTTTTTTTTTTTTTTTTTGCTAATGGTGGTTGTTCTGTGAGGATATTTAGCAGCTCTCTTGCCTCTACCTATTATGCCAGTAGCAGTCACCCCCTAGTTGTCTGCAGACAATTGTCATATTGCCCCTGACTGAGAACCAGTCTTCTAGACAGTGTAATTCTATCCATAAGAACTGCATAAATCTCTTTTGAAATTTAAGACAATGAATGAAAAACATAAGGAAGAACTGCTCTTCCTCAGGTTCTGTTACCACAAATTAAAAAACAAAACAAGACTTTATATCAAATACAAAAATAGATGTTCTGGCATCCTAAATTTTACAGAATGTATTTTAAAAGAACTTATAATTATTTTTGTATTTTTTATCCTGAACACATTATAAATATTCACAAAGAATATATGTATTCTACATATATTTCAAATTATGTTTACATCTTTTTCCCACTCACCTGAAGAAATCCAGGAGGACGATTTAGAACTGTATCCAGAGAATTATCCAAGAACCTCACGATTCGAAGGTATCCAGGATACGAAGGTGCACTAACCTCTCCTGCAGGATTTACAAAAAAAATCTGTACTCCATTTGGTATCAAAATCAACTCATCTGCATCTAACCCTAAGGTCTCCAGAGGAGGTGGCTGAGAATGATTCCTATAGAAGTCTTCTCCAACTGATGAAAATTCCCCAGAATCGGTTCCATAGGACACAGTGTAGTGCCCCTCAGCAGCCTGCGGAGTATAAGCAGGGGGAGCTTCTGCTGGACAGCTTGGAGATGGCAGGGACAGAGAAGACGATGCAGCAACTGACCCTGCACTTGTAGCTGAAGTGCTTCCATCTACTTCAGCATGCTGGAGAGGTGAGCAAGAGGGCTGCGACTCCAGTGACTTTTCACACATGTCTTTAGGTGGAAATTCTGGATATAACTTGGGCACCTCTTGATCACTACGTAGAGAAGTGGCAAGACCCTTCTCTAGAATTTCTAGCCTGGTACGTACATTCTGTAGCGTTTCTTTCATTTTCTGTTGCATCTGTCTCACGGACTCCCACCCAGGGCCTTCGTGTGCAGGCTCTGCCAATGTTATGCTGATTCCCCTGAGCAGGTGTCCTATTCCTTGCTTATAGTAGTTCTTTGCTTCTTCTTTCTGACCTAATTCATCTGTATTCAGTCCTTTATTAACAAATAAAAAGGCCTTCTGGTATGCTTCCCTGATGATCTTAATTTCAGCAGGTTCTCCATTTTGTGGCTCTTGCTCCATTTCTGCAAAATAGGAAACATTAGCTGTAATTATCTTCTTTAGCTACTTACTTATTTATTATTCATCTCTCCTACTTGAATGTATTTCAAGGACAGAAAACATTACTATATTTCCAAGCCTACTCATAGTTTTGACACAGAGAAAACACTCAATATATAATTGATGGATAAGAAAATGCTTAATTCTAAATAACTTATCAATTAAAAGGAACAAATCAGAATACAGCTGTTAAGTAATTTTTGCTCCAGTTTCTTATAATAAAGTAGTTCCCTATCATACATCATAGAATAAGAGTCTTATTCTAAAATTAATTATACTTAATATTAAGCCAGATTATATCCAGTTAGTTTTCATTTAAAGGTAGCAGGTTACCCATATGAAGATTAGCCCTGTTCTCTCCTCAAACCCTACTAAAATAACTTTCAGAAGATTATTAAAAAGGGGTAACTATTTTTCTTACTGAGAAAAAGACATCGACAGACACTTCACAAAAAATAATACTCAAGTCTGGAGGTGTGGCTCAAGCAGTATAGCGCCTACCTAGCAACTGTGCAGCCTAAAAAAAGGAATACTCGAATGACCCATGAAAAGGTGTTCAACACACTATTGCCTCAGGAAATCAAAACCAAAATCCACAGTTACTCAAAACAATACATTTATCAGACGGCTAAAATGTAAAGACTGACCAGTGTTAGAAAGACAGTAACTGGAACTCTCATACTTTGCTGGTACAAGATGGAAAATGGCAAAGCCACTTTGGAAACCTGGCAATTTCTATTGAAGCTGAACATTTGCTCACTCTATGACCCATCAATTCTATGTGTAGATATATAAACAAAATAAACAAAAGAAATGGATACATATGCATCACAGAAATATGTACAGTAGTCCTCCCTAATCTACAGTTTATCATTCCATGACTTCAATAAATGTAGTTAACCACAGTCTGAAAATATTATAGAAATTAAAAAATTCATAAATTTAAAATTACACACTGTTGTAAGCAGTGTGATGAAATCTCATTTCATCCCAACTAGAATGTGAACAATCCCTTTGTCCAGTGTGTCCATGCTATTCCTCTGTAGTCACTCAGTAGCTGTCTTGGCTATCAGATAAAGTGCCATGGTATTTCAGTGCATATATTCAAGTAATTTTTATTTTACTTAAAATGACTCCAAAGCACAAAACAGTGATGCAGGCAATCTGGAAGTGCTAAAGAGAAGCTGCAAAGTGCTTCCTTCAAGTGAAAAAGTAAAAGCTCTCAATAACAAAAGAAAAAATGGTGAGGTTGTTAAGACCTATAGTAAGAATGAATCTTCCAACCATGAAATTGTGAAGGTAAAACAAGTGTACGCTAGTTCTGCTGTTGTACCTCTAAGTTCAAAGTTATGGCCATAGTGTATGAAAAGTGCCTAGTTAGGATAGAAAAGGCATTAAATTCATGGGTAGAAGACAGGAACAGAAAATGTGCCCTGACTGATGGCAGTGGGTTACACTAGAAAGCACTGAGTTTGTATAAAGACTTCAGATCAAGGAATCCCCTAAAAAAATATCACCAAGCTACTTCCTGTAAATAAGGGGGAAGTTGCACAGATTCAGTAATAGGTTTGGACTGAGAAATATAAAAATTACAACTGCCAACGTGGAAGCTGCTGTGACACTTCTGAGAGTTAAAGAAGTTCATTAAGAGAAGAGGATACCATCTAAAACAAGTCTTCAATTGCGATAAAACTAGGCTCTTTTAGATGTTTTATAGAACCTATGTTCACAAAAGTGCAAAGGATATACCAGGCTATAAAACAAAGTGCAAAGGGTGTACCAGGGGCATAAAACAAGGAAGGACAATCAACAACTTCTAATTTCAACACTCTTCCAAAAGGTTTCCACAAAAACAAACAAAAAACACCTTTACCTATTAAGATTCCCAACCATGGAAATCATTTGGTCCTGACATCCAAAGATCAACATCGTCATGGCTCAATGATCCAGGATCACCCAAAGCAGATGATCTGACAATACATCAGGAGTTAAATAGCAGCCTAATACCAAATCATAACTCCTGTCATTCACCTTACTTCATCTCATTGCACAAGCATTGTATCATCTCTCATCATTACAAGGAGAGTAAGTACAATACAGAGTGCCAAGCACCAGCGGCTCATGCCTATAATTCTAACTACCTGGGAGGCTGAGATCAGGAGGATCACAGTTTGAGGCCAGCCAAGGCAAACAGGTGGAGAGACCACATCTCCAAAATAACCAAAGCAAAATTGGACTGACGGTGTGGCTCAAGCAGTAGAGCACCTGCTTTGCAAGTGTGAAGCCCTGAGTTCAAACCCCAGTCCCACCAAAAAAAGAAAAAAGATTTAGAGAGACCATACTCACTTTTTTTTGAGCATGTAATTGTTTCATTTTATCATGTACCTTAGTTATAAAAGTTAGACGTCATCACAGATATGTATGTATAGGAACAACACTATACACACAGACTTCAGTAATATCCATGGTTTGAGGCAAACACCAAGGGTTTTGGAACATAACCCCCTTAGGTAAGTGTGTGTGTACATGCATATGCATGTAGACAGCCAAGGATCAAAAAATGTGAGGAAAAAATCTAAGATTAAAAATAAAGATAAAAGCAATGCAATTTGGTTGATATGGACAACATGTAGGAAAAAAATTAAAAACCCTATCATTCAAGAAACACTGCATCCATAAAATTAAAAACAGGATGTGCATATGTACACCAAACAGGATAGTCAAAGAACAAATGGAGCTCTCAGAAATTAAATATAAAATATTTGGAAAAAAAAACTTGAGAGGGATAAGAAGCCAAGGCTATAAAAATTATAGAAAATTTCCAGAAGGCAAATCAAAAAGACAGATGAAAACAGGAGAGAATAGACTAGAAAAGTAGGACCTAATCTAGAAGGTCCAATATCTGACTAATAAAGCTTTCAGGAACAGAGAAAAAATAAGGGATGAAAGAATAGAAGAAATAATTCATGAAATTTCCCAGAACCAAAACCCGTAAACTTGCAGATTTAAGAAGACAATGGATAAATGATGGTCATCTTCAAAGATTTATACTGAGAGAGACTGACTGAGATTGAAGAGTGCTGAAGAACCTAAAAGGCAATTAAGTAGAATTTAGAAAAAATGGTACAATTAATTCAAAATTCTCAGTAAAAATAACTTCCAAACCCAGTCAAATGGTATGCTAGTATCCATCCTGTTTCCTGGATTCCATGTTTGCTGAAAGAAATCCAAAACTTGATGATAGAGTTCCCAAGGTAACTAATTATGCAACCTGTCCAGATTGGTTAAAGAGACTCCAAAAAAATTTCTTTAGAAAACTAAACTGATAAAATACTCCATGTGTTTCTAAGTTTTGAGAATAGAGCTATACAACTGTAGGAGGATTCAAAGGTTTAATTAATGATAAATACATGAAAAAGTAATAAAAATCAAGTCAATTATTAACTCCAGGGAAAACAAGATGTTGGGCTAGAAACAAAAAGTAATCATAGAAGTGTATTAATGTCTGTCTTGATAGTGTCATAATAAGTAATGAGTCTTGACATTAGCAAAATTATGAAACCATATTGAAAAGATGGGAAGATGGACAGATGTGTGTGCATGTGGTTGACGTAAGGATGAAAGAGCTAAAACTTCATTTTTCCTACCGGGAAATTAATGAGCAATGCCTAAAACTGAAAATTTTTAAAGTGTTAATATAAGTATACTGTTAAAGAGATACAGAAAGACCAAAAGAATTGGGTAAGAAAATTGATATAAGGTGCCTTTAGGAGGAAGTGAGGTTGGAGTGGTAGAACTTCTGACTGTTACTTCAAGTCTTAAAAGCAATTTGCTTAAAATATATACATGACAAAAATTTAATTACTAACTTTAAAAAAGTAAATAAAAGACAGTCACAGTGGCTTATTCTGTAATCCTAGCTACATGGGAGACAAACTGGGAGGATCCCAGTTCAGGGCCAGCCCTGCCTCAAAGTTCTCAAACCCCTCCTCTCAAACAATAAAACCTGTTCTATCATCCCAGCTACTCAGAAAGCATGAATAGGAGGATAGCAGTGTAGGCCTCTGGATTATAAAGCGAGACCCTATTCCAAAAAAGAGCCAAAACAGCAAGTGCAAAGTCCTGAATTCAAATCCCAGTCCCACCAAAAAAAAAAAAAGATTGGGGCATGGTTCCAGAGGTAGAGCACCTGCCTCACCCTGATTTCAACCCTAAGTACTGCAAAAAATAACAAACACTTTATGTAACGCAGCGTTGTCCAATAGAATTATAATACGGTTATTTTACAATAACCATACTAAAAAGGTAAAAAGAAACAGGTGAAATTAATTTCAATGGCAGTATTCTACTTATCCAACTAACATCGAAAGTATTAGTTGAACATGTATTCAATATAAAAATTATTAGCAAAATAGTTTATCTTTCTTTATATTAAGTCTTCAAAACCCAGTATCTATTTTACTTAAAGGAAATCTCAATTCCAGCTAGCCCAATCACAAGCTCTTAGTACCTACATGTGCCTGGTGGCTACCATTGTTGGGCATTGCAATTTAGAAATTCTTTGCCTGCAGACTCATGAAAACTTATAATATAGGAAAATTTAAGTGACAGAAAACTGTTTCAGCAGCAATCTACACAATGAAAGCATCACAGAAATTGTGGTTTAGTTTCAGTAATATAATCACACTTTTTAAAGTGAAAAATACATACACCACTGGCTGGCCTTATCATGCAGCAACTTCATGGTAGGGAACATATTCAGTCCCCAATTTAGATAATAACATATGGAACTGCCCATATAAGAACTTACCCCAGACCCTGATCAAAACTGACACCTCCTTTCCCTGGAATTCTGTCTTGTTGTGTCATCAGTAAATCTCCCTTTCCAAAGATTCTAATACCCTTCTTCCCTCAGAAACCATGGGATGAACATTCTACACTTTACCTTCCTTGGGGTACAAAGAGGCACAGAGTAAGACAGGAGCAAGAGAACACAGGCCTATCATATTCCTAAGCACAATTAAGTGCTTATTAAGTGCCTTAACAAGATAAAAATCATTATTAAATGATTTCACATGCTGTAGTTTTCAAAGTTGAGAATAGAAAGTGTTTGAAATGTCAATCTGAAGTATTAAATAGCACCTTCACCAATATAATCAAATCATAAATCAAAATCTGTTTCCAGGTAATGATGGTATACTTATTATATTATTTAAGCAGTCTAATAAAAGAAAAGGCACTTCAAATAGAACTATACGCATGTATACATTTTTTAAAATACCAGCAAAGTATAGTTCTTGATTTAATCCCATAAAAAAGTGAAAGTAATAAACAAACTTAACAGGCAACATCACAGTTTTTTAAAAATACTTCATTTATCTCCATGGAGCTAGCAGAAATTGATCTAATGTCTGTCTGGCTATTTACAAAAAAAGGGGAGAGTCTCTTAAAAATACTTTATTTAAATTAAATACTGACAAACTAAGGTTGTACATAATCATGGGGTACAAAGTGCTGTTACAGCCTGATTTCTAATACAATGTGAAATTGATGATTAAATCAAGCTAACTGGTCCATCAGCCCTAGTATTTGACATTTTTGAAATGAGCACATTTGAGATTTTATGTCTCACTGATACAGAAATGTACAACTCTCACTTATTAGCTGTAATTCACTGTGCAGCAGATCCCTTCCAAATCATTGTTCCTACTGAGGTGGGAGAAACGGAAAAAATGATAATCAGGGGAGCTAACATAGATATGCAATCCTTCTGTGCCATCCTAACCCATTCTAGCTTTCTAGGGAAATTATTTTTCAGAAAGTGCCACAGGTGAGAAGCAAACCACAAGCAACATAATATGAAGCCTTCCTGCTTCAAACAAGTCCCATAAAGCCACCAAATAAAAGTTAAATACAAAAAAAAAGCGCGAATCAGAAAACAGTCCTATACTATCGCTCATATATATATATATCCCTCTTTCTTTCTTTTTCAAAGAAAAGCTGTAAATTCTTGGATACTTGAGACCATTATTTCGCGGCAGAAACGATCTTGAACGCAGCCTCATCAAGTTCTAACACAGTAAAGCAAACCTGGAGGATCCTCAGGAAAGTGCAACCAAGAGGCGAAAGCGGCCGGTCCCACAGGAACGCAATAATGCAGTGTCACGAAACGGCGCGCGTTCCAAGGGAAACTGCGGTCACGGGACCTCTGCTCAATCCCTGGGAGCGTTTGCAAACATTCAGAGTGGAATCCATGTCGCCCACCCCCAGATGCTGTGGGTTTTGGACGCTGGGGCAGAGAGAACAAGCAGTGCGATTTTGCGAGCCAAACTCAGGCGGAGGTGGGGCGGCTGGAGCCGAGCGTGGAGATGCTCTAGCGGGTGGGAAGGGGCCGCGAGAGCCGCGCGTGGAGATGCTGAGGAGACCGCGAGTTGGGGGGCAGGAGGGGCGGCCCTGTATGCAGACAGTCCCTGGGGGCGGGCAAGGAGTGCGGAGGTTCCTTAAAGGCGGCATGGGATTATAGACGCTTCTCAAAACTATTCTCTCCCTTCACTGAAAGTTCATCGCGGGCCTGCTCCCCACCACATCTCCCCCGGCCCACCTGTGTCTTCCAGATGTCGGGTACCCGGGCGCCTGCCCAACAGCTCCCCTCCCGACCGCGAAAGCCCCGGCCGCTCCCGGTGACCAGGCGCCGCCACCCTCCGGCGCGGGTCCGGGGTTCGTTCGCAACGCCCCGCCCCCCTCTCAAAGCGCCCCGGGACGCGTGCCACGTCACGCGCGCGCGCCGCCGGCGCAGGCTCGCTCCCAAGGGACGCCCACTGGAGCGGCTTGCCCACCAGCGCGTCACCAGCCGGTCCACACTAAGTTCTGCCCACTGAGACCTGCTAAAAGGTGTACCGGAGGACGTCAGTCCGCTTGCAACCCCGAGACACCGTAAAAACTTTCGGGAGTGAAAAAGAGCGACGGCGAGAGGCCCCGGAGAAGCTCGCGGTGCAGCGGCTCTGCTCGGACCCCCGACCAGGGACTCCCGCGGCCACGTCGGCCGCACCCGCGCCTGCGCAATCTCTCTCCCCCGCGAGTCTGGCCTGTGCAAGCCTCGTGGGCAGTGAGAGCCTGTGGCCGCTAGAGGGAGCGCTGGGCTCTGTGCGTCTAGAAAAACAAGCCAACCAGCAACTCTGCAATCCACCACTGTGACTATCTTATTAAGAGGACAGTGAGCCTCCTGTAAGTCTCAGAGCGGGTGTGTATGTCCACCAGTATCGTACAGAATGCTAAATTTCTCACTCATCAGGATAAATAATGCCTAAATCACTTAGAAATATGGAATGCTAAAAGGGAAAAATTAAAGTGAACGTGCTTTTTAAACTTCAAAATTAGTCAAAATGCTGTGCTAACATACTGTGGAATGGGTCTGCATTTAAAAAGAAATCTATATGTAGTGCCCTGTAAATTTAAGTCTAGTTAAATTACTTGTCTAAGAATGACAGTGATTTGTAAATGAATTATTCCTCCCCTCCATCAAAATTAATGATGGGACTATTGAATGATTATACAGAGGGAGAGGGAGTTAAACTGGAAGTCATCTGCTCTTCAAAAAATACTATAAGGAAACTGAAAATACACAGATTATGAAAAAGCCCTTGCAAATCACTATTTTGATTTTTATGAAGAATATAAAAAGAACACTTACAACTCAATTTTTAAAAATAACACAATAATGAGCAAATGATTAGTAGATATTTCTCCAAACAAAATATACAAATTACCAGAAAGCACATGAAAAGATGGTCAATGCCATTAGTTTTTAGGGAAACACAAATCAAAACCACTCTGGGATGTGACTTCTCACTCATTAGGATGCCTAATCAAAAAATAGTAACAGGTTTGGCAAGGATGTGTGGAAACTGGAATCCTCAGGCATTACCAGCAGGAATGAAAGTGACATAGCCACTTTTTGGAAATCAGTGCCTTTTTTTTTTTAAGTTGTGTATAGAAGTACCACATGACCTAGTAATTCCACTCTTAGGTAGAATTGTGCAAATAGGTCTTCATGTCTCTCGATTCAAAGAATTAAGTGATACTGCCATTACAAAAAAGTCCTTCCATAGGACTCCAAGATGGCATATTGCAGAAACCCACCACATTCTTGTGTCTCCATGAACCAGAAATAAAACCTGAGGTATGTGACTATAAGGAAAGACAGACAAGTTAGTAAGCCAGAAGAAGGCACCAGTAAAGGAAGTGCCAGCTAGTGGCTGGAGAAAATAAAAAAATAAGAACTTTATATTTTAAAAAGAACAAGAAAACTTTGCCTGGGGAGAGCCCAGAGCAGCCCTGTGGAAGCAGAACCAGACCTTCTCCACCCCTAGACTATTCAGGCCCAGTGTATTTGTGGCAACAGTCACCTGCATGCACTGCAAACACAAAACAACAGCCGTAGGGCTAAGTGAGCCTTACAACAGCCAGACAGAAGCCAACTGGTGCCCATGCCCCCTGCCCAGAATAACAGACAGGCTCAGAAACAAGCAGCCTTGACAGTCTTCACTCACTGACTTCATCCCTAAACCTACTCCTCCAGTCCAATCACTTCTGTGACAAGAGCCACCCACAAGTCTCTCTGGAAGGCAGGCTGAGGAGAGGCTGCCAAACCTTGCTCTGGTCAGGCAGAAGCCAGCTGACTCCTGGGTTCCTCATCCCTGGAGGGGGGCATGAGCGCAAGCTAACCGGCTACATCCCCAAGCCCACTGCCAAGGCCCAGTGTATATATGTGACAAGAACTATCCACCTGCCACTCTGCAAATGAAACATCAAGCCAAAGACCTAAGTAGAAAAGGGAAACGCTCTCTGTGGACAAAGTGGAGCTGCCATTTGATTCCCTGTGCAGGCCATGAGAGTGGGCACACTTGGCAAAGTGCTCCCTGCCCCATGAGCTATTCTCAGAGGTCCCTTCACTCCCCCTGCCTCCAGCTGCTCCCTCAGGTACCTGGAACTTCTTCCCCCCCAAAAAACAGAACCCCTGCAGTGGGACATAGCTGTTCCACTCCCAGAGGAACCAGACCCTGGGAATTGCTGCTGTTCCACAGGATCTGATCTGCCCCACCTCATTCCAGCCATGGCACCTGGACTTGTACCTTACCCAATCATGGAACACCACACCAGGCTGAAACCTGGGCATTCCTGGGCCCAGAGGAATACATGAATAAACAGGAAAATCACAGACAGAACTGAGAGCTAGAGATTAGAGAACACCTATTGTACTGACAGAGCCCAGCTGGCATATACTGTCCTCAGAAAATACTTTCATTTTTTTCTTTTTTTTTATAATTTTTTCTATTTGTAGTTTATACTGCCTCTTTTTTTGTAATTGACTCAGGGCCCTGCACTTGCTAGGCAGGAGCTCTACCAGTTGAGCCAAGCTCCCAGCAAACTGCCTCCTCCCCCATTATTTTGTTAATTTGTTTTGCTCTATTTTCCAGTAGGGTCTCATGTTTTTGCCTGGGACTAGCCTTGGACTGTGATCCTTCTATCTAAGTCTTCTGTGTAGCTCAGATTACAGATGCACACTATCACTGCTCAGCTTTTTGTTGAGATGAGGTCACACTAACTTACTTTTTTTTTTTCCTGAGCTGCCATTGGACTTCAGTCCTCCAATCTGTACTCCCTGAGTAGCTGATATTATACAGGATGAATGAACCACTGTTGCTAATTTCGTGTATTTTATCAGAACACAATAAAACTAAAAATCGATAATGAGAAAATATTTGAACACATGGAAACTGAATAGTTCACTTCTGAATGATCAGTGGTCATTGAAAAAATAAGGGGATGAGGAAATAAAATTCCTAGAATCAAATGAAAATGAAAGTATAACTTACTAGAATCTTTGGAACAAAGCAAAGGCAATGCTAAGAGGAAACTTTATAGCTATGGGTACCTACGTTAAAAATCAGAGCAATCTCAAATAAATAACCTACCAAATGTACCTCAAGCTCTTAGAAAAATAAGAATGAGCCAAACCCAAAAGCAGCAAACAAAAAAAAAAAAATAAAGATCAGGGAAAGGGAGGGGGCGGGGGCCAGCAGGGAGAGATGGCTCAAACAATGTGAACAAATGAATAAATAAACCAAAAAAACCAAAAACATCAGGGCATAAATTAATGAAATGAAAACTAAAAGAACACTACAAAGAATCAATGAAACAAAAGTTGGCTCTTTGAAAAGATAAATAAGATAGACAAATCCTTAGACAAACTAACAAAAAGAAAGGATAAGACCTAAATTAATAAAATTAGAGATGAGAAAAGGGACATAACAATAAATACCAATGAAATATAGATCATCAGTGAATATTTTAAAAAACCTATATTCTAATAGACTAGAAAATGTAGAAGAAATGGATAAATTTCTAGATACAAAACTGAGCCAAGAGGGTATAAACATCCTAAACAGATCTATAACAGAAATGAAATTGAAGTGATAATGAAGAGTCTCCCAACAAAGAAAAGATTCACTATCGAATTCTACCTTTAAAGAACATCAATGCCTCTCGAACTAACCCCTGAAATAGGGAAAGAAAGCTACCAAACTCATTCTGTGAGCCAATAATACCCTAATATCCAAACCTAATAAGGACACAATTAAAAAAAAGTATTATATACCAATTTCCTTGATAAATATAAACACAAAATACTTGCAAACTGAAATTAACAGCACATTTAAGAGGTCATGCACATGATCGAGTTGGTTTCATCCCAGGAATATAAGGATGGTTCCACATATGCAAATTAATAAACACAATGTAGTACATAAACAGAATAAGGGACAGAAATTACACAATCATTTTAATAGATGCAGAAAAAGCCTTTGACAAAATTCAACATCCCTTCAAGATAAAACTCTGAAAAAACTAGGAGTAGAACACTACCTCAACATAATAAAGGCTATAGACAATAAACCCGTAGTTAACATCCTCATGAATGTGGAAAAACGGGAACCATTCCTTTACAGTCAGGAAAGACAAGGATGCCCACTCTGTCCACTCTTATTTGATATAGTCTTAATTTTTAGCCAGAGCAATAAAGCAAGAGAAGGAAATAAAAGGGATACAAATAAGAAAGGAAGAAATCTAATTATCCCTATTTGCAGATGATACCATTCTGTACTTAAAAGATCTTAAAATGGAGTTTTTAAATCTGATTAACACTGTTGGCAAAGTAGCAGGATACAAAAAATCAATATAAAAATAAATAGCTTTTCTGTATATCAATAATGAACAGGTTGAGAAAGAAATCAGAAAACAATCCAATTCATAATAGCTTCAAAAAATTAAATACCTAAGTACAAACCTAATTAAGGAAGTGGGAAATCTTTATAATGAAACTATGGGACCTTTTAAAAAGAAATTGAAGGTGACAGTAGAAAAATGGAAAGACCTCCCACGTTTGTGGATTGGCAGAATTAGTATAGTGAAAATAGCTATTGAAAGCAATCTACAGATTCACTGCAAACCCCATAATATTCTAAGGCCATTTTTCATAAAATAGGAAATTCAATCGTTAAGTTCCTATGGAAGCAAAAAGACCTCAAATAGCCAAAGCAATCCTGAGCAAAATGCTGGAGTAATGCTGGAGAGTAATGCTGGAGATCTCACAATACCTGACCTTAAATTATTCTGCTGTATAGTTTCACAGTAACAAAAACAATGTGGTGCTGGCACAAAACCCAACATGTAGACATCTGTTAGACATCTGCATAGAACAGAGGACCCAGAAATAAGCTCACATAGCTGTAGCCATCTAATTTTTTTCAAAGGAGCCTAAAACATATGTGAGGAAAAAAGAGCCTCTTCACCAAATGATATTGGGAAAACTGGATATCCACATGTAGAAGACTAGCTCCTCATCTCTCAACCCATACAAAAATTAATTCAGAATGAATGAAAGTTCTAAGTGTAAGTCCTGAAATTTAAAACCATTAGAGGAAAAGTTAGAGAGTACTTAAAGATACAGATATAGGTACTACCTTTCTGAATAGGACTCCAATTGCTCAGGAAATAAGAGCAAGAATTTACAAATTCATTGCATCACATTAAAAAGTTTCCGCACAGCAAGGAAACGAGACAACCCACAGAATGGGAGAATCTTTGCCAGCTATTTATCAAATAAAGGATTAATATACAGAATATACAAAGATGCCTCCAAATTAAATACTAAAAGAATAAGCGATCTAATTAATAAATGGGCAAATGAATTGAATAGACAGTTCTCAAAAAGGAAGTACAAATGGCCAATAAATACATGAAGAAATGTTCGACATCCTTAGCTATAAGGGAAATGCAAATCAAAATGGCATTGTGATTCCATCTCACTCCAATTAGAATGGTTATTATCAAGAAAACAAATAATTACAAATGCTGGTGATGATAAATGCACCTTTATATACTGCTGATGAGAACATAAATTAGTGCAGTCACTATGGAACTCATTAGGGAGGATCCTCAAGAAACTAAAAACAGAAATACCATATGATGGACATATATCCACAGGAATGAAAGGCAGCATACAGTAGAGATACCTTCACACTCATGTCTATCAGGAGCACTCTTCACAGTATCAAAACTATGAGTCAGCCCAGGTGCCCAATAACTGATATGGATAAGGAAAATGTAGTATATATACACAATGGAGTATTATTCCACCACAAAGAAGAATGAAATTGTGTTATCTGCAGGAAAATGAGGATCCAAAGATCATCATGTTAGGCAAAATAAGCCAGACTGAGAAAGACAAATATTACATAGTTTTCTCATATGTGGAACCTAGACCTAAAAAATTGAATGTCAGAAGTGTAAAATGGTAACTGTTTGGGGGTAGGTACCAGTGGGAGAGGGGAGAGCAGAAGTACAGCGTGAATGGGAGGGTGAATAAAATCGAAGTACTTAATACATATGTATGAAAATAGAATGGTGAAACCTTTTAAAAATGCCAGGGGCGGGCGAGTCACATCCTACCTACTCAGAAAGCAGAGTTCAGGAGAATCACCATTCCAAGCCAGCCCAGGCAAATAGTTCGCTAGACCCTATCTCAAAAAACACCCACAAAATCCTTCACTCCACCAGTGGAGTGGCTCAAAGTATAGTCCCTTGTCTAAAAAAAAAGTTTCTAAAAGGGGGCAAAGGGTTATGAGTAATGGGGTAAATCTGATCAAAGTACTTTATATACATGTATGGAAATATCACAATGAAACCCCTGTACAATTAATATATGCTAATAAAAATAAAATGTAGCACGTTAAATTCTCAAGGTATATTCAGGGAATATTCAAAGAGATCTTTTAATACTTGTTTTGTACCTGGTGTGTGTAAGATATACTCACAAAGACATTTTAGCCTAGTGTACTCAATAAACAGATACCAATATACATCTGGAAAAAAACCTACTTCCACTACTATTTATTTTATTTAGATGGACAGAATTTTTCAATTTTTGCATACTTAAAAATTAAAATTTGATTTGAATTGATGCCAGCTCTGACCTCAATCTGGAAAAATACATATATGATACAAACAATAATACAAATACATGTACCTAATTATAAAGTATAAAAATATACATGTACACAAAAGTTTATGGTAACATTGTTTAGATAGTTGAAAAGTGAAAACAACCCAAAGTGAAAGATGAATGGGTTTTTTAGATGCATTGTATCCAGTCAATGGGATATAGATCACAAAGATGGAAAAGTACTAGCATTTGCTACAGCATAGATGCAACTTAAAACCATTATGCTCAGGGAAAGAAGCCAGAAACAGAAGTATATGTTGTATGATCCCTTTTAGTAAATTTTAATGAGGCAAATTTATATAGACAGATGTATTCTGGATTGAGTGGTTGCTTAGGGCTGGGGTCCCTAATTATAAGTGTAAATTGGCAAGAAGTTTTATAGGATGGAACTGTTGTGAAATTAGATTATGGTGATGGATGGCCATTAAAATTCATTGAGTGTAACATTTAAAATGAATAAATTTTGTATGTAAATTATATCAAAAGCAGTTTAAAAGATGTATCCTGGATTGAGTAACTACAATAATTATTTGTCTTATGTGCATTGTAAGTTTGGATAAATATTTTTGAACTAGTACATATTTATTGGACGTACACCTTGATGAGGCAACAGGGACTTTTCATTCAATTATTTCTTCATGTATTTATGGATGAGTAGCACTATTTCTAGAATGGTATAAGAATCAATATCAATTCTATTTTGATTTTAGTGTTTGTGAATGAGCATCAATTCTATTTTTATTTTAACATTAGTAAATATAAAGTCTGAGAAAGTTTATATAAACAAAATAAAATGGAGTGGGTAGGATTTATAGTATCATTGTAACTCAATTCTTTGATCTATTTCCAAATTACATGCCCCAAATCACTTCATGATATATCATCCAAATTAGTTTTTTATGCACTAAATGTTTCTTGTATTTTTTAAGTCATAAAAATCAGAAATCACCTGATTGCAAAAATACTTTATGCCAACTGATAATAGTTATTCACTCCCATTATTAAGTTCTGCAAAGTACACCAAAAAGACTTTACAAACACTGACAATTTGTGGTGGTTTAGGCTGCAATAGTCTAAGCATTGCCAGGCCAAAAGTAGTGTCTCCATCCACTAATGGTCCCTGGGCAGAAGAGGGAGCCCCCAGCTCTCAGTCACACTCATTTGGAACTTAGCTTCAGCAACAGGTAGCCAAGGTAGGAGGAGATCTGCTGACACTCTTCCTCTCTTGGAAAGATAATTCTCCAACTGCTGGCTGTAGAAAAACAGACTTTCACTGTTTTTACTGAGTTTTAGATTTTTTTTTTTGTCTTTTCTTTTTTGGTGCTGAGATCGAACCAAGAGCCTGGCGCATGCTAGGCAAGTGCTATATCATCGAGCTACATCCCAGCCCTGGATTTTTTTTTTTTTGAATAAATGTTTCTTCATTTGCTGTGTGCTCTTAGGACCATTTCCAGAGACTTTAAATGTTTTAATTTTAAATAATACCAATTTATCTGGGATATGGTATGGTCTACAGAACCCCTAACTTTAAACTACAAGAGAAAATCTCAGGAAACTAGATTTTTAATACCTTTTATAAAAAATAATGCACAAAAACTTAAAATCATGGTAAAAGTTTCACTTATTGATTTTATAATTTTATAGTTATTCCTATAGTTTGACTAACTTGGTAGCTCTGAAAAACATTACCATTATATTTTAAATGATCAGCATAATATGAATTGCCTGTTTAGGCATAGGGTTCCTTATTGCACAGACTCCTTTCAATCCAGCTTTTGAAATACATTTACATGCTCATGTGTATCTTAGTAAAATTCACAAAAAGAAGATCTTAGTCACATCAGTTAAGACCACTGACTCTTTCCATTTGAGTTCCCTTCTTGTCTTTGGTGTCAAAATTGCTGTGGACATTTTGGTATCTGGGTAAAAAGAAGTTGAGTTGGATGTACATTTAGGTTTTGTTTTGTGAGATATATTTATGTGTACAGAGACTTCCATGTATGGTTAAATTATTATTATTATGCCAGCTATAATAGCATAGCACTGACCTTCAGGAATAGTCCTACTACCAACTGGGTGTTTACCTGACCATAACATAAAGACACTGGTCTTGCTTTTTGATTGCATCACGCAGGTTGAGTTTCCCTTGTCTGAAACAGACAAGGAAAATCTGAAACAGAAATGTTTCAGATTTAATGTATTTTCTGATTTTGGAATATTTCCATTTACTTAATGAGATATTTTTACAGTTAGGACTCAGATTTAAACAAATTCATTTATATTTCATTTGTGTATAAGTTCATATAGTCTGAAGGTAATTTGATGCATTTTTGGTGAGTCTGCATTTTGACTATCACATCAAGTCAGGTAAGGAATTTTACACTTATGGTGTCATGCACTAAAAAGCTTTCAATTTGGGAATATTTCACATTTTCAGATTAAGGATGTTGAACCTGTGAAGTACGCAGCACTAGAAGTATGTGCAGGTGGAGAAGGAACAAGGTTTGAGTTGTATTGGGCCAGAAGTCAATCTGTAGAAAATTATTCCAGTCATCAAATTTGGAAAAATATATGCAAAGGATTGAGTTTGCTCACCAATGTTTGGCCAAAGCATATATTAGTGGTCCTTTCAATTTTTGAACAATTTTAAATACTTAAAACATTATCATTATAAAACTTATGAAACTGAAATAAACTTCCCTAACTTATATTTAAAAACTGATCTTGATAAACCATGCTAGAAGAAAAGATGAATTTTATCTCTATTCTCTCTGTGGAATCTTTGCAAAATCATTTTCCTATGCAGAAGCAATGAGTATAGCTAAAAGGAAAATTCCTTAGGCCAATTAAATTTTATAGAGTTTATTTGAACAAAACAGATCCATGAATCAGGCTGCTCCAAGAACTGTAAATTTCTGAGAATTCCAACCAACAGTATGATCTGATGGCATTTACAAAAAAATAGAAGCGAGGCCTAGAGCAACTTACTTACCCACAGCTTAGTCAACTAGCCAACTAGCTGTGGCTCAAGTATATAGCTTAAGCAGTTCATTGGGCTACAAGACCTTCTGCAACCAATTAAAGCTCAGTTACTGTGATTAAACTATGTTGGTTTGGACCACTGGACCCAGTGCAGCAACTCAATCCAGAATCCTTGGCTGCCATCAAAGTTTGTTTAACAGAAAAGAGACAAATAAGGAATAAATAGTATTATGAAAGAGTCAATTACCTAAATAATGTAAAAAAATTATGTAATATTTCTGGATTTTTAAAACTTTTTTGTCATATTTGTCCACTTTACAAAAATTTATAATTTTGTGATTCACTTTTGTTCATAATTTTGTATTCTTTTCTTACAGAAGGTCACCCAAACTGTAAAAGTAGCAAGCACCACACAACTTGTATTTGTTTAGGCTGAAATGACATTTGAGATTATCGGAACATAATCACTTGTATTAGAAAATATGTGAAGGGCCATCTTTAATATTTAGTGTATTATACTGAAGACCCAGGTTTGTACTTTCACCAGGTCAAAAGGCAATATTGGAGTTATCTGAAACTGCCAATCCATCTACTTCCTTAGAACACACTCTGACCCATAGCCTAGTACATGAGGTCTCTAAGGAATGCCAGCAGCCACTTACACAAGCAGAGCTATTTCAGCCTTGAATTCTCTCTCTCTTATACTTACATAAATAGATGGCTGATATTGATGTTTTCCAGAGGGCCATTCTATGTGCATCCATAAATCCCAGGTTTATTTACCTGAAGCCATCTGGACAGTCCAGGTGTGCCCTGCTAAAAGCATTTCACAGATAAGAACTCTTTAGTTATCTTTCCACCAGTATGTACCTTGGTTCAATTACCATATTTACAAGGAAATTTGACTTGGGCATTTCCACCTAGGCATTCCAGGATAGGAATAATTGATTACAGACCAGCTGCTAATACTTAACTGTAGTTCTCACCAGATTGTTGTAAAAAATAATGCGTTCCTACCAGGCATGGATGTGCCTATAGTCCCAGCTGCATAGGAGGTTGAGGGAGAAAAGATGAAGGTCAACCTGGGCAACATAGGGAGACCCTGTCTCAAAATTTTAAAAAAATGGCATTTTCCAATAAAAGTGAAGAATTGGAAGAGGAAGGGAGGTCTTTAAATAAAAGTTGCTATGTTTCACTCACTCCCCACATGCATTCTATAGTATATCTTATTTAGTAACATTTGAGCAAAATATCTTCTTTTCTAAGGCCCTTACCTGAAACAGGGAAAGACAAGAAGCCACAAACTTAGTTATTGTGGTTTGGAAGTGTCTTCCACCAAATAGGATTTTGAATTGTTCTTTTATTTGATGCTCTTGAGGTTGTATACCCTACACAATGCACTAGAGTAAGATTTAAGGAGGTGAGGCTATGGACTTCTTCTGTAAAGTGAGAGTTTTAACTTGAGAGTAGAAAAAAAGATGCTAGGATATTAAAGATGTAGATATTGGTTATTATAAAACTCCCAAATCCTTGTAACATTTTTGCATATCTCCAGCAGTATGCATGACTCAGTTAAAAATACTGACATACACCACATACCTGTGGCTGAGTTACTAAGACCACTCGTTCTGAAACCCAAGTGCCTGGGTTCCAGTCCACTTTCTTCTCATAGTTGCTACTAGGTTTATCACTCTGAGACTGTTTTCTCATCTGTAATATGGAGAAGTTATCTAAATTAACTGAACTAACTCATGTAAAGTTCAGTAAATATTCATAATACTTGATGTTCTTCTTTCCTTGTTGAAATACTGTAATAATTAGCAAACAATGGTTTTGTTCTAAGCAAATTTAAATACTGTTTTCAGAATATTATTTCTGTGTTCAATAAATTGATGAAATAATGTTCTCTTCATTAAAAATTTAGTTCACAGAATAAAATGGAGCAAATATGAATACTATTTTAACAATATTACAGTATCGCTAACAAAAACAATATTGTATATGGCATTGTTTTGATTACATAAATGTCCTCAGAAGAAAAGCCTATGTGCTAGTGAACTTTAGGAATGATATATTTAGGTATTTAGGCATGTAATATCCATTATAATTACAATTCCTGGATAATTGTGCCAAAGACTTTTGTGCAGAAGCCTGTATTTTACTTAAATGTGTTTGCTAAAAGTTTCATCCTAAATTATACTAGATTCAATTTCATTCAGGTTGTCTTGTTTCTTTTATCCACATGCTGAAAAGATGCAGTATTTTTCTTTTTCATTTATTATACAACATTGTAAATGGATATTAGAAAACCTAGTGCATCACATGGTAAGTGTCATTGAAAGGAGAAATGTCCAAATTACTTTAGCTATGAATTGAGTTAGGTGTCAGGGCATCCATCTCATAAATTGATTGAGGTTATCACTGGTGATGTAATCTAATTGCTCCAAGCTCATGTTGAAATCAATAGATGACTCAGTTTAAAATAAAACTTCTAGTGGGCACATTATGTTGAAGGCTAATGTGATAATAATGTCCCAAAGTTCTATAGGATGCTAGGTCTTTGACCTATGATCTCATAACATTTTTCTTCTTTGAACTCTTTGTTATGTGAAAAGCATGCCTTTGATAACAGATCCATAACTCTGATGTTCTTAGTAAAGTATAACTTCCCCCTGTACATCAAATATAATTGATGATGGACAGGTATAGCATTTAAAAAACTGAATCACAAGAAGAAAAAAAATCTCTTCTACTCCTAGAGTCAGAGATACATACATAGGCTTTGTAAGTTCTGTATTTCCATTTAAAGTACTGAATCTTTAGAAAATACACCTACCATTTAAAAATTCTATTGATTAAAGTATCAGAACAATTTCTTTCATATTTCTTACTAATTCCATTTGGGTTTGTCCTAGCCAAACTGAACTTTTGATATATTATATTATAAAAAGGCTAATGGATTATCCAGTAAATGATTTTATTTTCTATTTACCTATACTTACAACAATATAGTGGGGTAGAATTTAACAGCACACAAAATTCTTATTATAGCAACTTCATTGCTTTAGGAAAATACCTGGTAAGCTATCTGGAGCCATGATGAGTCCCTACGATGTAAACAAGTAAGAGGCCGATGAGGGAATACAGCACTGTTAATCTGTTAGAAATGAGCAGAGATTCGCACTAGTACTGGAGTAGGGAATGAGGAGCAATGGAAACTGAGGAGAGATGGGAAGCCAAAGGACCTGATGAATTGACAAAGGATGCAGAAGAACAACATTTCAAATTCTGCACTTTAGATTGTATTTTGCTATCAAGATGTAAGAAGCCCAAATTTCCCAACTTCTTTAGTGAAGTGTGCCAAAAGTGCTGTTTTTGTTTTGGCTAGAAATTCGGAGAGTGCCTCAATGTCCATCTTGTTTTTTTAATTGTAATTTTTATTAGGATATATTCATTATAGGGGGATTCATAGTGACATCTTGTTTACATGATACAGAATAAGACAAATATGTATAAAATAAGATAAAGAATGATGCTGAAAGAATCCATGAAGTGAACCAAATTAGGGAAAACAAAGATCCACAATCAGAGGTGTCCTTGAGACTATAAGCCTTTGAAGAACTTTTAGATATATTGCTATCATACTTTCTACAAGAGGAGGTGGTTCAAAGTCAATGTCAAAGCCCTCCCAGAATACATCTGATGTTTGAACAAATTGGGCTTATCACTCATTGAAGCAGGGAGGACACACATCATGAGACATGGAGACATGTCAGTAAGAAATGTCTCAAAAGACTCGTGAGATTTGGGCTTGTGTTAGGTCACTTTGGTGGAGGGTATAAAGATGCATGGCTTTTCTCTGGATTGGATATTGCCAGGAATTAGGGATAATTCTGTGATTGGGGCTCTTAATAAATCTTACTTAGAAACACTCTAAATCTGTATTTAGTTAAGATGCAGCAGCCACTCAGCCAGGATTGGGGGTGTTTGGCCTTTTTTGTGCTTTGAACAACATTTATATCTTCTGTTCAGATACAATTTCAGAATGGATGTGTTTTTTTCTTGATCCTTCATAGTCCAGAGGAGTTTTGACGTACATGTTCTATTGTAACTGTGATGTTCAATCAGATAAGCACTAGGCTTAGATGTAAGTCACTGGCCAGCTCCTTGCAACATCAAGGACTGGCCAATAGTATCAGACCTGCTTCTAGATGTCATAATATGCTTTCTTCTTTTTCACAGATCTTATCTAAATTTTATAAAGTGAAGTGCCCTTAGATGACAGTTGGGTTACATTACTCTGCTTTAAATCATACCATTAAAAAAAGTAATGTATATCATGTTTTAATCAGGCAATTAGTTGATTAACATATGTTTGATATCCTCTGAAGAAAGAAGGTAGAAGACTATAATAAAAGAAGCATAAAGGAAGTTTGTCTACATAATAAGATGCTCATCATCATCATCTTTGCCATAAAGAAGAAATCTCCTGGGCTGGAATACAGCTCAAGTAGAGAATTTTCCTAGCAAGCTCAAGGCCCTGGGTTCAATCCCAAGTACTGAAAAAAAGGTTAACATCTTTGCAGACTTTAATTGTTCAGACAGACCCTGAAAAGCCCAAGAAGGGCTTGTCTGTAGTACCAGCCTTTGGCCATCTCCTGGGAAATGAGTTCTGAACCCTTGGAAAATTGTTTGATAAGAGCATCTTGTATACTTTATGCCCAAGGCCTTGGGCCATACAGTAGCAATTTGATCAGACAATTTATACTAACAAGGTGATCTACAGAGAATACCTCTTTTTTGCTTTGAAAGCAGGTTATGAGTTGCTATGTTCAGTCACACAAACACTTGATGCCTACATGATTGACCCCTGACAAAAATCTGGGCACCAAGGCTTAGGTGAGGTTCCCCATTAGTAACACTTTGCACATATTATCATACTTCATAGCTAGAAGAATTAAGCATGCCTGAGCAACTCCACTGGGAAAGGATTCCTTGGAGCTTATGATGATTTTCCCAGACTGCCTGATATACTTTTCCCTCATTGCCAACATTAATCTAGGCTCTCTCACTGTAATAAACTATGAGGATAACAGCTTCTCCAAGTCCTGTGTATCCTTCTAGTGAATCATGGAGCCTGCATGTGGTCTTAGAGACCCCTGACTCACTCAGGTGAGTGTGACTTTTAGGACCAATTCTAGCCTATTGGACTGATTTCTTTACAACTTCTGTGTTCACAAGAAAATAAATTTCAGTTCCAATATACTTATAGTAATAACTAAAAAGGGGAAGTAGAAATGTTTACTATAAAAATCTTGACAGAGATAAATCTTTTCAGGACTACGTTTACTCATTCAGTTTTTCAAGTAATACTTATTAAACATCTAATGTGTATCAAGCAAATGGGGTTACAACAGCCTTTAAAAGAGAGTTGGGTATGTGAGTCTACAACACGTGCTTTGTATGAAGTTATCATGGTAGAAAAATACAATTCTGAGTGCCATAGAGGTGTGGGAAACACCTTGGAGCCTTTTCAATTTAGACATCCACCTTAGCCTGCCTCTGAGACCTCAGGGGGGCATAGAAGGTGACAGCTATTTCAAGTCAAAACAACATAAAAGTTTGAAACATTTGAACAACAGAGAGAATAGCAAGCCACTATCTCCTCCTATGTAGGTTACTGCAATGGAAGCAAAGTGAATTTATAACTATCTCATAAAACTATGCAGGAGTAAAACCCTGAGAAGTTTCTAGTTAGCAAAAGAAGGCAAAAGGAAGCTAACCTTAAAAAGTATACATTATTTACTGAACTGAGGTGTAGAATATTTAAAATATAATTGGTTCTGTATGTTAGACGTGCTTTGTTTCATTTGGGGAAATATAAAAAAGAGAAGTGCTTTTGAAGACTCAGTTTCAATAATTATCCCTATTATACCTATTTTTGTCATAAAAATTTAAATGTCTTCATGTAGAATATTCCTCCTCCAGTTGAGAAAGGCAACTGTCATTTTCCAAGTAAAGCCTGAGCTTCCCATGTTCCCAGAGATGCTGGTGTTTTAGGTCACCATCAGGCTATGATTCCCTCCTCAAAGTGGGACAGAGTATGGACACAGCTACTCTTAGTCCTACAGATATCTAATGGCATTGTCCCTGAGATGAATGGGGCTGTCCTCTGCTTCTTAGAGTAGGATATATATGAATGGAAATGTTGCAATCCAAGCCTGTAAATGATGATGGCTGTCACCAATGCTCACTTTCTGGGAGCACAAATTAAACCCGACCAGTAAGAAGTGGTCTTCCCTGCTTGTTCAGAGGTGAGTTGATGGACATGAGTAGAAAGAAGTGAAAATATGGCCATCTTGGAGAAAGGCCCCGAGATGCTAGTAAGGATCTGGCTGAAACAGTAGACAGAGTAGGGTTGCCATTTTCCATGAAGCTTTGCAGCAAGTCACTCCCAGAACTTTTTTCTTAACACTACTCATTTGTTTATAGGCAGAACCTAGAAGTGAAGTGTGAAAGAACTGGTAACAACAGCAACTTGGTTAAATCTTCTGCGATATTGAAATAGTAGTTATGTAAGTGTATTCTTCGGTATAGGCTTATAAAAGCTTCCCAACTACTCTGTAATTAGTGATTACAAGAAAAATGAGAAGAGAATACTTTTACTGCTGGTTGACTGTGATATCAGTCAGACTCTGGCCCATTCTTTTTCTTGTGTAGAGTACTTATTGGGGCCAGCCAAGAAGAAAATATGTGATGAGTTGCTGGTAAAACTCACTGAATGTGGGGAACTCGTTATTGAACATTCTTATTATCTTGGGGGGATTCCAATTCCAGAACAGCTAACACTTTTCTGACAATACATGGACAGTTGGAATGATGCAGAAATTCTGTCTCTGGGACTCTTGATACTTGTGGCTGGTCCATCTAAGCCTTATTATTCAAATAAGCTGATGTTATAGCTGCTGACCAGAAACATTGCTCACAACTTAACACTGATTTAAGTGTATCAGTTCATAGAGCACCCATATTCATAGACACTGTTTATGGAAATATAAAAAAGAAAAAATCTTCTATTTAATGAGATGTGATAAAATATACCAATAGTTACATTTTAAAAAATCAATACTATCTGTATTTTTTGGTTATTGTCCCCTTTACTCTTTGGGAATTTTAAAATATTTTTATTACCATGCATTAATAATACAAGGTGGGGGGGGTTCATTGTGATAATTCCATAGATGCATGCAGTATACTTCGGGCAAGAAAGGCTACATCTTTGTAGTTAAACTTTTCAAACAATTCTTCCAAAAAATTCTTTAAAATTTAATCATATTCATTTCTTGGGTACTCTGTATTTCTTATTCTTTTGTCCATGTTTGGATTTCTAATTGAAATTGTTTCTTTAAACATAAAGTCCTTTTTCTCAAAGCAATACAAACTTTAAAAACATTCATCTTCCTAACAAAGCTACAAAGACTTATTGCCATGATTAACACTTACACTTGAAGATGAGAAATTAAAGTTAAATTTATGTATTTTTCCTATAGACTCAGTTTTCTTGAACAATTGCTATTGCTATTACCAAAAAACAAAAAAAGCTATTGCCTATTTAAAATATTTACATTTAGGATAGAAATAGATATTGAGATTCCATGTTTCTTTCTTCTTCTTATTTTGGTGGTAGTACTGGTATTTGAACTCAGACCTTCAGCACTTGCTAAGTAGGTACTCCACTGTTTGAGCCACACTTTCAGCCCTCTTTGTGCTGGTTATTTTTGAGATAGTCTTTCTTTTTGCGTAGGTTCGCCTGGGTTGCAAACCTCCTATGCATGCTTCCTGCTATAGTTGGGGTGACAGGCATGTGCCACCATGCCCATGAGATGGAGGTCTCTTAAACTACCCCCTACCCTCCCAGGCTGACCTTGAACCATGATTCTCCAGCCTCAGCCTCCTGCATAGCTGGGATTACAGGCATGAGCCACCAGCACCCAATTTTTTTCTTTTTAAATTTTAAATCAAATTTATTTTTAATAAACATATACAAGCATAAAAATTGTGCATGTGATGTTCCACATGTTTATGTTGTGTAGTGTTAAAATCAGGTTAAGCATATCTATCTTCGCAAACATTTATCATTTCTTTATGGTGCCTATT